AGAGTGAGCCAGGGAAAGCTGAGCGCCGGGCACAGACGGCGTGACAGTAAACCTCAGCGCCTCTAAATACCCCGGCGTGCGTGCCGAAATCCGGGCTTTTCCGGACGCGCCCCTTGGCGTCCAGGGCACGAGGCCCCAAGTCAGGAGTCGGAGGCATCCTCTCGCCCCCTCCTCGCGTCGGCGCTTTCGCCAGACGAGGAGCCGTGAACTGAGGCCGGGTGGGCGACTCAGGTTCCTGGCGGTGGGCTTCGCCGGGGAAGCAGCGCTTGCACAGCGCCGCGCCAGGCGGCGGTGCCGACAGCCGCAAAAACTGGCGGCAACCATAGGGCCAGCCGCACCCTGCCTCCAGGCGGCCCTATCAGCCATGGCCTCCTGGGCGTCCGGGGCCCGGCGCCCTTCGCCGGCACCGCCCTGGCCAAATCGGGCACACACTCGAAGGCCTGGCGCTCGGACCCCTCTCCCTGGGCAGCCCCCTGTGTGCCAGGTGGGCCGTCTTCCTGGCGGTCTTCTGCGAGCGGGCAGGAGAGATGGCCAGCTGCATCTCGCCCTGTCCTCGCGGGCTCTCTCTCCCGACCTTGCGCCAAGCGCCGGTGGGCGGATGCCCCGCTCGAGCCCGAGGCTCCGGGCGCCTGGTGGGAGCCCAGCGCGCGCGCCACGGACCCCGGCGCGAGCACCAATGCCGCCGCTTGCGTAAACCGCTCGATGGCCCTTGACGACCACCACCCAGCAGCTGGATGACGGCCAGAGGGATGCCCTTGCCAGGAAGGTGGCCCCCGCCACCCGGCAGGCGTGACCGCCGAAGATGTTCTTCTCCGTGCCAGGCCGGCGGCTCGCAGGACGGCGTTCAGGAAGTGTACCGAGTCCTTCTTGGACCTGGTCCCCCCCGCCCGTGCCCGGGAAGAGGGGGGCCGAGGACGCGAGCAACCCGGCCGCGTCCATCCGGCGCAAGTGGCGGCGTGCCGCATGCAGCGGGCAGAGCGGGTGGGTCGTCGCCCCGCAGGCACAATGAAGAGACCTGCGGGTGAGCGTCCTTTC